ATGTAGTGCAATATTTGTCTCATTTCACCTTGTCTACTTTGTCTAGTATCTATGTAAATGTCTGCAGTAGCCAATGCAAAAAATCTTAATGTTCTTTGCTGATATTGGCCATTTATCAATAGTTGTATCAGAAATGTAACAAGCAAATTTTCTTTCAAATTCAACTTTCCTGTTAATAGGTTTGTACTGTATTTTGCTACTTTTTCTGTGTGAGAATACTTAATAACCTTCATTCGAGATGAACTTGAAAACCCTTGTTCCATTCATTTTTATTTTTATTTAAAATCACCTAACTCTAGTAAACGATTTCAGGAGACCCAAACTCACAAGCAAACATTCAGAAGTTTGTAAAGTAACAACTGATCTGACCCTGTGAACAAACTAATGAGGATAATCCTTTCCTCTTCACGCTGTCCTTTTGAAGTCGTGGATAACTTTTGCAATGAGGATTGCAGGGTCAGATTCTGTATTTGTGAAGTTTTCCTTGATTTAATACAGTGTATTTAATATTAAAATTTGTATGTAACTGGAACATAGTCCTATATATATATTATATGATATGAAAACAATTTCTCACCTTAGTTAAAAAACACCACCTCATCCTTTTATGTGAAACATGGGTACAGTATTTCTTAAAATGCAATCTGTGATTACATATCTTATCTTGTATTGTATGAATGTTGCCGTGGTAGGCCAAACAAATGCATTTTGTCATGAATCCATTATTTGATAATAGGGAAAATTTTTAGATATAAACATATGAAAACAATTTCTCACCTTAGTTAAAAAACACCACCTCATCCTTTTATGTGAAACATGGGTACAGTATTTCTTAAAATGCAATCTGTGATTACATATCTTATCTTGTATTGTATGAATGTTGCCGTGGTAGGCCAAACAAATGCATTTTGTCATGAATCCATTATTTGATAATAGGGAAAATTTTTAGATATAAACTATACCCCACATGCAGTTACATCACCTGCCCCATGATTTATTGTCTAATATTCAGCCACAGAAAGGGTGTATTTATATTGTCTTCTCTCTACTTCTTAGTTTCAGAGATTGTGTACGTATAATACTTAAATGGGTATCCTGCTCTTGGTTTTGTTACAGCTCTTCATTACTGCATCAAGTACATATTGATTAAAAGATAAAAACAACATTGAAAAGTAAAATGTGGCTTTAAAGCTAGTACAAATACATTTTCATAATGGATTTTGTTACTGCCTGATCCTTCAAGCTGTTCTTTTGTGTAAACAACTGTGAGATTAGGTATTGAATGAATAGAGTTGTGGAGCTGAAGTTTTATTGTGTTATTTGGAATTCACTGATTTTAAAATTTTTTAAGATAAATTTTTAAATTATTGAAATGAAAGCTAACTCTCATTATTATGCTATTACTTTGAATCCTACAAATAAGAATTGTAGTCTTGCAATCTTTGTAGCAACTTGTCCACAGGGCTCTAACATTCCCCAGCTTTCCAAAATACGCTAATCTTTCTATAGGCTTCATGTGAACAATTTTTCTCATCCAGCACATTTAAAGTATTCTAATGTTTTTGTGTATGTGAGTGTATATGTTTTACTACTTTAGCCATAAATAATTGCATTTTGCTGCAAACTTAATAGGGTCATTGTTCTAAATTTACCTTAGCATTATCAAAGCCCATTAAAAGCCATTTTTATAGAGGAAAAAAAATCTAATGGACACAAAGAAGGATTTGCATTTAATTCAATGTTTGTATTTGTAAATTTAGGAAAAAAAATCGCTGATGCATTAAGGTTAATTGCTTTGTTTTGTGTACTTGATGATAAATTGTAAGATTCCAATTGTTTTAAGGTTAGTCTAGAAGCTCAATACTGGTTTGTCCGGAAAGCAGCCTGGTGGTGTTTTGACATGTTGCTGACTTTGTTACAGATAACATATACAATCAAAATGTATTAGCTTCACTTGACCAACTCTTAGAATATGAAGAAATCAGTGTATTCAATGGCATTCTGTATTTCTGTTCAGTATTTCAGAGTGGTTTTATTTTAAAACACTCTGGTTTTGCGTGAATTTAAATGCTATTCCAATGTTAATCTTAACATTCTGAAATCATACACAATATAAAGCAGATGTAGTGCTATATTTACTTCTAATTTCATATTCCTGGTCAAAATTACTCAATTTCTTGGATGTAATTTATTACAAAAGTTTATGTGTACATGTGAATAGACTATTGTGTTTTTCACAATTAAGATATGTTATGTGAAAATAAATATTTATCCTAACTAATTTTCAATTTTATTTTTACACTGCAAAACTCAGAACAGGTATGCAATACTGTACAGTATTTGAAATGTCTATCTGGTGCTTGAATGTGCTTCACAAATGAACGGTAGCACCCAGCACTGCTCCATTTCCAAGTGGCAGCTCATTGAGACACGCAGCACTGTCAGTTCTGGCTCACTGGGTGTAGCCGATGGTGGTGTCCTGGCCTGACTCAAACAGTAAGTGTACCCGTGGGGAGAGCACACAGCTGACCTGTTCCAGGAAGAGAATAACTGAATTCTGATTTACTAGTCACAAGCTGGTCCCCCTTGCTCCCAAGAGAGATTAATACAGACCAAGCAGAAATAGTTGAGTCTTTTTACTGATCTATAGATAAGGTTATGCAATTTAAAATTTGTCAGCGCCTCTGCTCTTCTTAGGATGCTACATTTCTGCTACTGAAAGACATTTAGGCCTTAAAGCCTAGTACTAAAGTATTGACTCTATTTTATTAAATCCCTTTTAACTTCTTTACCAATTTTTAAACCAAAGACTAGAAGCCTCCCCCGGCCTAAGAATGGTAACAGTCACACCTCAGACTTCAGATGCTTCTGTTAGGATTTTACACTAAGTATATTGCACAACAAACTTAGGTTTCCATTTCACATACTAGAAAAAAGGTTAAGTGGTAGGTGCCTAACTAACTAGCAAGTGGCCCTACTTCAGGCACAACTGTTTTTTGGCTTTGTACGTCAATAAAATGAGCTGTTTTCTTTTGTGGCCTCAGTTTCAGGTATTTACCTGTGCTCATGCAGTTCAAGCAAACTCTCAATTGCCTGAGGCAGCTCTACTAGCCTATTGCCTGAGTTATTTTTGGAGCTGAGGGAGTTCTACCAGAGTGAAAAATTAGACACTGAATTGATGTTTGTTAGGACACTACCATAGCAGTAAAACCTTTTTTTGTTGTTTTAAAAGTTGCATCATGCTCTATTAGGAGCATATCTTATATGTTGCTTTCCAGACAAAGATATTAGCATTGTTGTGCCTCACAGATAAGACAGTTAAAAGAGGACTAAGTATTGAGAGTACAGAGGAGTTTCCCCAGTTTGATGCTAGCATCATCAAGGTATCAGATGCAAAGAACTGCATCTTTACTTAATGAAAGTCTTACCCAGACTATATAATCTCTAGTTTTAACTTTTTTAAAAAAGTTTCTCTGATTAGACTAAGGGAATAATTGCAGTTCAAAGTCAAAAGAATGAGAGATGTGATACTATAACCTCTTTGAGACAACAGCGCTGCCAGTTGACATTAGAACAACTACTATACTGAACCCAAGATATTTTAAAACCCAGTTCCAGTTTGTTTAAAACAATCCAAACAACAAAACCCCCTACATCTTACTTTATGAGTCAAGAAGTTACTGGTTTGTTTGTGAAACCAAAACCTTATTTTCTACCTCAGGCCCTCTTCCCTTTGTCATTTAACATTTTTTGCCATGCAAAAAATGCATTTCAAATTCACACCTGATGTCACTAATAACTCACATTACAGACATAAGGACATGCTGGCATGTACTATTGAGAAGCTAAGTGTTACATAGTCATGTCACACTCCACTACAGGATACCATTACACAAAAGCAGAAGCTTCACTTTTAGGTCTTCCTCAAAATTAATGGGGATTTCTGTAAAATTCTAGGAGTTTGTTTCTTAAGCAACATTTTCAATGATGCAGACTACACCTCCTTTCTTAACTTAATGTCTTTATTATTTTAAAGCAGCACAAGTGGGTTGCATCTTTTCAATCTATGTGAGATTAAGAAAATTAATCTTATCCTCAGACAGAGAAGATACCTGGAATGCTGAAGATAAAGCAGACATTTATGGGTAGGCTGTGAGGAAAAGCAGGTTTGCCCAAGAGAATGTTCACATCATCTCATCATTCTCATTAAAGCCCTTGCTTTAAGTGACTGCCAGTTTGCATTGTAATGTTGTACAGTTGAGTGCAAGGAACAGATCCTATTCATGGATAAATAAGAAACTTCTACAAAATAGAAGCAATGGTAGTCTGCTAGAGTTTACAGAAAGATTTTACCAGTGCAGATTCTAACAGAAGCAGCCTTTATTTTTTTTTTTTTACAATAAGATAAGCAAAAATCACAGTACTATAGCAACCAAATAAATTCAGTGCCATTGGTTTGAGTAACTATCATTCAAAACCTTTGGTGAAAGTTGGCTTACATACTTTCCTTGCAAGACTTCTACATTGTAATCCAAGAGACTGCAGAGAAAGCACGTAAGGAAATTCAGTATAAACAGTGTTTCATTCTGCACAGAAAATATTAACATTGCAGTATACCTGATACTGTTTCTAAAATAATAATTATCAAGCATTACAGAATTTTCAGAGTAATTATCCCAGGGTTCATTTAATTTTTGTGGGAAACATTATTTTTATTCCACAACTGATCTCCATGTTGGTTCCTCTGTGACATTTTTATCATTCATTGCCCTAACATACAAACTGGATTGTTTCTCTTTTAGACTGAAATATCAAAAGGTAATTACTTAAGCACGGACCATGCTTCCTAGGAGTCTGCAACATACCTACATTCTGGTGATGTTAAGACCTGATTTAACACAATCAATAAAAATGCAATAGTTGCTTGGCAACAGAAGTCATTATAAAAGATTAGGATTTCATTGTGTACACTGGTATCCCAAGAGCTGACTCGTATCTTGATTCATTAAAAGTTTATACTGGCTCACAGTACATTATCTGAAGAGTTTTCTGGAGAAGTACCATCACTTAGAAGCAAAATGCTGGTGCTAGGACAGTGAGAAACACTGCTTTATGAAGTGGCTCATATGGGTATAAATATGCTTATGTGCTTGACCGGAGATGGAATGGTCTTTGTCAGTATACCACTGTGTGAAGAAAACACAGAGAATGTTAGTTGTAGCCACATCTAAATGATATAAATTAATCATGATAGACAGAAACGTGCACAAGTGGCCAAGGAGGCCAACAGCATATTGGCCTGTACCAAGAACAGTGTTGCCAACGGGACTAGAAAAGTCATAATCAGGCACTGGAATAGATTGCCCAGGGAGGTGGTGGAGTCACCATCCCTGGAAGTGTTTAAGAGGCATCTGGATCTGGAGTTGGAGGATATAGTTTAGGGATTATGGGTTACAGCAGAGTGGCAGGTTAATGGTTGGACTTGATAATCTCAGAGGTCTCCTCCAACCTTGATGATTCTATGATCATGTGCAGCCATTTAAAATTATCCCAGCATGAGGGTAATTCAGCATGGAGGCAAAGACATGATCGAGGTAGGAAGCTGCTATGACACTTTTGCCCCTGCTTTGTGTGTGGGATATACTATCTATTTATGCTAAAGGTAAAAAAAGAACACGTGGCTTGTCCACATGGAGAGCAGATATAGCTGTTCAGGATTCTATGATCATGTGCAGCCATTTAAAATTATCCCAGCATGAGGGTAATTCAGCATGGAGGCAAAGACATGATCGAGGTAGGAAGCTGCTATGACACTTTTGCCCCTGCTTTGTGTGTGGGATATACTATCTATTTATGCTAAAGGTAAAAAAAGAACACGTGGCTTGTCCACATGGAGAGCAGATATAGCTGTTCAGTTAAGTGGGGTGTCTCTTTCCCTCCTGCAAGTTTGGCTGAGGGGCAACCGTGCACTGGTGCACTTGGCTTCCTTCTATACTTCATTCTTTTCAGCACTGCTCCCCGAGGGTTGGGAGAAGGGAGGAAAGGAAGAGCTTGCACTTTAGTCCAAGAGCTTCCATGTACAGCATAAAAAAGGGGCAAATAACAGCTTGTCATACAAGTTCAATACACACCATACATGATGGACAGGTTGTCTTGGACTTAGCTGAAGTTAACCTTTTCTTCTAGCCTATCTATAAGATACTATTCATTCCACTTTGGGTATATGCAAAGATTGGGATTGGCTGTTTGTCTGAGAACATAAAAAATTTAACAAAATGAAAGATTATTGACCCTAAATAGGAGAAGGAATTGCTTTACAGTTTTTCTTGTGCAGAAAATACATAGGTGCATTGTGTTCAAATTTCAGTTACTGAATATGAAACACAAGTATGTAAACTTCAATTAAGATGATTCTCATAATACAAATCTATTGTATAATGATAAACAAAACAGAACCATACCATTGCCTGAAAATCCACTTCAGCATCAACAAGAGCTTTGGAAATCTGTGCTGCTTGCTGAAAGTGAACATTATCTGAAAAGTGGAAGAGGAAAAAGGTAAACAAAAAATTGCTTCTGTAATACTCTGGGGGAAAGGCAAAGCAATGAACACACCAGACTCCCCAGCACTGCTGACTGAAACACAAATTAGTTGCAGAAAGCAGTATTATTTTATTGACGTAAATGTAACAGCCTTGCCCCTTCATGCTTTTGTTTTGTCAGTAGTAGAATTGCGAACCTGTCTGTAATACTAAAATGTCTAATTAACTGCAACTCACCATCTGCTGTTCCATGAATAAGGAGATACTCAACTTCCTTGAATTTTTCAGCTCTGGCCATTACTGTTGAACTCTGAAATTAAAGGGGAAAAAAATAAAAAAAAAGGTGCTATTTATTAGAAGATAACTTGCTACCAACTGACTTTGATTCCTGTTGACACAGTCTGGGGTCCGTCGGTTAAAACCAACCCCCCATTTCCCCCCTGTGAACTGCCACGTAGCGTGGTCACGAATCCAACAGTACTGTGCTCACACTCAAACCATTCTACACCCCTCTGCAATTATTCCCAAGGGTTATGGCTGCAAAGTAACAGGCAGTTGCAGAGGGAAGAGTTTTGTGAGCGAGGCACCCGTTTAATGCATCGCTATCGCGCTGTTAGCCTGCAGCACACCGTTTGCCATAGGTTTCCTGTGTGACTGCAGACAAGTTAAAAAAAATGTTGCCATGGCAACAGTGCACCCTATGATAGCAAGGAGTAGATCTTGCAGAGGCTACACACATTAAAATGTACACTAAAATGACACTAGTTTACCTGCAGGTAGGTCAACAGACCTAATAGTTCCTCAAGTAAAAATGGGTGACAAGATGTTTAAAATAATGCTCTCTCAAAATGACAGAGAAATGCCTGAAGGAAAAAAACCCTAGGCCAAATCTCTAAATAGAAATCAAGCTACATTTTGAAAATGGTTACATGATACAGTGATGAAAAGATTAAATAATCAGCAGTTAAGATTAATCAAGAAACTTAAAACACAGTAACAACATGTTTGCTAGAAGAACATACTAACCACCTGACTTGCTACTGTGCCTAAAGAATGAAGACAGTAAGGATTGCAGGTAAGATCTTTAAATTGGGCAAGGGAAGGGAATAGCATAGTGCTCTGCCGTAAGAGGGGCAAGAAGAAAGGGGACAAGAGACAAGATGTTTTAGGATTGATGAGACAACTAGCTTCTATGGCAAGGAAAAAAAAGTAGTAGAAATTTGGAACAGAAGAATGTTTGGGTTTTTTCTTCCCCACCTCGTCCTAAGGCTGTATCCTTGCACAGGGATTTGCATTTAGTACCCCCAAAAAGTCAAATTCATTGTATTGCCAAGACACAAAATTGTTCTAATTTCCTTATATCTGTTGTACACTTACGAGTCTTTAAGGCAAATATAAATATTACATTTAAATATTACATTCCTTTTGTCATGGCAGAATAGCATATCACAACCTTTTCATATGTGAAATGAGTTCTTTGTATTTATTCAACCAAGTCTAAGAAACAAGTTCAGCAGAGAGGAAACCCACCCTCCACTCTGCAATACTGCAGTTGCCCTCTTTAGATGGTCAAAGGCTGCAGAGCACCAGAAATCCCATCCGATATATGGAAATCCATGCACCATGGGAGCATGATGCTTCCATTGAAACGATTTGATATCGTGGACTAAGAACAGTTAGTTCCAGGTGCCAAAAATGTGGAAGAGAAGACTTTGATTCATTGAGGAGCACTGGTAAAGCAGCTGTCCAAAAGAATAATTCAGAAAGAAATGGCCCAGTGATATTAAAGAAAAAGAACAAAAGAAAAATAACCAAGCAGTATCCTTTGAGTGAATCATTTTCCACATGTGCAGAGGGAAACTTGATAGAGCAGCTTGCTAAGCTTTCTTCCAGCAAATCAGTGCTGTTTTAAGCAAGTCTTCTGCAAGTGGAAACCTGACTTAAGCTACACTTCTGAGAGCTCAATTTTGCAAAAGCAGTTTTAGATAAAGGATATCACTATTTTTCTCCTCCAAGCATTAAACAAAGTGAAGTTATTTGTAAAAAAAACTTCAGAAAGAAAAAACACACGAGATACCTTCTCTGCTTTTTTAATCACTTGCAAGTAACGCCTCACTTGTTATACCCATACTCTACAGGAAGAGTCCCTTCCCTAAAACATGCTTTAAGGACACAGTGAGTCTGTGTCCTTAAAGGATATTGCAAGATAGAGAGCAATCTCAAATTAGGCACAGTTAGAGAATAAAGCAACAGCGACATCAGCCGAACAAACCTCAAGTGGACAACAAATAAATACAACTTTATCTACCCCTTCCATGTCATAGTTATACTGTCGCGACAAAGGCTCCAAAAAAGGTAACGTGCACAAGTACTGAGAATTAGGCCCTACTGAGTGTAACTGGCTTTTCGAAAGATCACGCAGCAGTCAACATTTTATCAGCACTCCATAAACAAGTTAAGGTTTGGCTGAAACTGAAGGTCTCTCTCCCTTTAGCATATTCTCAGATAATAGAACAAATGTCAAATCAGTACAAGATGGCATATTTACAAAATTGTACCCTGTTTTGCATAACCTAATGATGCAGCAGTTCTTAAGGACTGAACATTTCAAATCTGCTAGAAAAAGATTGCCAAATCTATGACTGTTTCAAACACTTGCCAAAAGCATATCAAATTCAGAGTGAACTGCAAAATAATGTTCTCACAAGTTGAACAGTCTCTTCGGTATGCTTTACATGGCTACTGCATCTGACCTCCAGAGCTCTGCCCTGATTTAGTCTCAAGTCTTTTGCATCAGGGATATTTCTTCTGGGCAGACAGCTTCTGTGCCATTCGGCCTAGGATCCTACACAATTATACTGGGAGATCCACCCATGCTTCCTCTTCTCTTTTACAAAGCTCTGAATTATTAATAGTTTACCTTAAAAGACATTGATGACACCTAATTAGCCTTAGGAGTGTGAGTCATCCCTCAGACTTGACTGTTGATAAAGAATATTTAGCATCTCAGATACTCTGCCTTCAATAAATGCAAAACACAACATCACAGTAATACAAAGGTGGGATGTACTCCTCTTACCACAACTAGTTTCTGGAGTCTGTATGTTAACACTCATTAACAATACTCTGGGCATTAGGAAGGTGCCTAGCAGCACATATCTTCTGTAAGCAGGTGTGTACCCAGTCTCTTTTTTGTAAATTAGGGAATATGGTACACTGTTTATGCATCTTTTCACTTTTGATGCCAGCTTTACAGCGGATGCAGTAGGACAGAATAAATGATGCAGCATGCACACCTGACAGTACAAAGTTCACAGTTCAAACATGCTTTAACAGCTTCAGCTGGGAGAGCTTTCAGTACATATTTTCCATTTACTCTAAAAAACATTCAGTTCAGCAAACAGCTCTCATCAGCAACAAGGGGCCAGGAGGGACTATTGGGACTGGGGCATAGAACAAAGGGGCTGTAAGCCAGGAACATGCTGGGCTGAAGTCAGTAAGGGTCTTCAGCAACAACAAAATCCCACAACCCTTTCACTGATGCTACGTGAAAAGCAACAAACTCATTGTCGAGCTACCCCACCCCTCCAGGTTAAAAGTAAATTCCAACTAATATATTATTTGAAGCATTTAACAACAAACGAGGACTTCAATTGCATTTTCTCTAGGAGCAGCAGCAAAGTGTGACAATCTGATCTGTGCAATTACTCCTCCTCCATCTAGCCACCATTCTCCCCAATTAGTCCTCTGAGTAACACATTTGAAACCTTTAGCTCTTTGGTACTGGCAGTTTCAACGTGGCCATTGCCAGCAATGGATACTATGCCAAGAAAATCCGACTCCTGGCTTGAAAGGATTAAACAGTCCTCTGTTGCCATCTGTGCCGTGAAGCTGGTGAATGACTTTGTGCACCCAGAGCGTTAACGTTCGTTCTGCACAACGACAGTAACTTGTATTTACACTGCTACCTCGCAGACCTCCTACTGTTCCCACTGCCTTAAAGAAATACATTTGGAAAAAGGCAGGCAGGCGGCTGCAGGCTGCTGGTCAGTCCCTGGTGGGCCCCAGTAGCTTGCTGATTAGATGAGGCAGTCACAGTGCCAGCACAGTTGTCCAGCGGTCACTATCACTGTCCTCAGTCTTGACCAGAACATCTCATATAGCAGTTGCCAAAACAAGATTAGTGTAGTGATATGTCAAAACAGATGTTTCAGTCCATGTATGTATGTATTTATGGTTTTCCAAACTTTTAAATTACAGCAATAACCTCCCCCTTTTTTCTACCCATGGCACTTATTTTTTTAATGCCTTAAGACACAAGCAGTGCTAGATTGTCTTCTAGCCTATTTACCAGCCCAAACATGGAGAATGCCCCATCTCTTTTTCTCGAACATCAGTGTTTGGTTCCAGCATCACCATGGCTGAACACCTTTGTGAAACATGTCAATAACCAAGGCACAAAGGACCCCTCAGATCCCTCACAGTTCTTCAATAGCCACTGTATTTTCACCTAGACCTGAAGTTTAACAAAACCTAACAGAAGGCTTGGCTAATCTGCCATATGCCCAGCTACACCTGTGACTTGAAAAAGCCCTGGAGTCAACAAAAAGCAACTGGCACATGGAAGAGCAAGTTGGTGATTAACCATGCCACAACAAGGACAATCTATACGTATTTTGCTTCTATTAGGACACATGGAATTTCCCTCACTTCTGAACATTAGCCATTTTAGAACAAACTCTGGACACTCCATTTGATGGAGATGGGGCCAAAATTCCAACCCCAACACTGCTGGCTCTCAGGTAGCCTGCAATTTGATATGATCCCAGTACAGACAGACTTACCTACCTGTCGAAATTTTCTAGTATTTGGGAGATTTTGCTTTCCCTGAAAAAGCTTGCAGATTCTTAAAGCAACAAAGTTCATACAATACATAATTTTTTAAAAACCACATTTCAGAAAGAATGGGAGTACATTTGCTTTGGTGGAAATGTGTAAGATAAAGCATAGTTTGCTCACCAACATACTAAATTTTAAAACAAGTATTTTCCTTGGTGATTAAAAGAAAACAGTTTTTACAACTTATTTTACAGCCTGCAAAATAGCCAAATGGAACTGAATATAAAAAAAACCCAAACCAACTCAACGCACCAACCAAACAACAGAAACTCCACACCATCCAGCAAGCAGGAGCTGCCTCACACAAATCCAAACACGTAAGATTGCCTCAAAAAGCACAATCTAACAGTTCTAGCTGGAAAGAAGAAACAAACTTATTTCTTCTCATGGGGAAGGAACTAAACTGTTTCAAGAAAAATACTGTGGTTTAGAAACAAAACTAGACACCAAAATGGAATAAAGTGATTTCTTTCTTACATTATAGCTCTTCAGATTATCACTCTCTATAGGAAGGCCCATGTATCTCTCCGTGTATATTGAATCTGCAATTTAAATAAAAAAAAAATTAGAATCTGCTACTTAATATCCAGTCTGTCTACCATAAATTTTACCCACTGACACAAACAGTAACAATGCATACTGGAAAGTAAAAAAACCAAAAAAACAAGCCGAACCAAAACCAACCAGGTTTTCCACAATGAGGCATGTAGGTACCCATAATTATTCAGAATATTTAATCTTCTTGTTGCCATGGACACCTGAATGCTGAATATTAATAAAGTACTTTGTGTCAATGTTTCCTTATTGTTATTCTTTCAGTAATCCTAAGAAAATTACTGAAAATGTTGCAGTAAATAACTAGCACTTGAAAAAAAATCTTAGATATTTTATCTAAATGTTAACTACCAAAAATCTATAAAATGAAGACGTAGTAATAGATTAGGATTCATTTTAGGCTGTTACATATAGTAAAAATTAAGCACATCTGATTTTCCACACATTTTTCACCACAACACTATGTTACTTTTTTGCAGATTTGCTGCTTTGTTTTAAGCCATGCAAATCAATACTCTGCTGCCATATTCTAATGCCCATTTGACTTCTCATCAGTGTTGTCACAGTGGAGTTTTTTTCATGCTGAATATGCATACCTTCATAATCCTTTAATCAACTAAAGGTGGAATTTTAGAGATCCTGATCATTAGAAAATATTTCCTGTCATACTGTAATATTTATGTCCAAAATATTATGAAGACTTTGCTATGTCCTCAACAGCCTAATGCTAATACCTGGCAGTATGATTTGAGCTGCTGAATTAGCGGTTATACAGCCACTGTGCTAGCTGCAGAATGATAAGTTATGCCTTATTTAGCAGAGGTTTGCCAGGAAAAGCTTTCCCTTGAATGTTTTTAGACATATCCAAAACAGAAAAATGTCAAAATGTGGTCAAATTATATATAGTATAAATAGGTGATGGTACAAATTTTTTTTAATCTGGGAGGAGGGCTCCTATAACTGTATTTGTAGCCTCATGCAACTACAGCCTTATGCACTATAAGCTTGAAGCATGTACTGACTTGTCTATTTGATCAGGTTTTCCTCACATCAAGCTATTCTCAAGATGAATTAGATTATTCATAAAATCCAAATTTTACATGCTAAAAGAAAAAAACCAAAATCCAACCCTACAGCAATTCAAATCCTATTCTGTTCATTTGAGAGAATAAATTACAATGTAAGTTTAACATTAACCCTCACAGTTCGTTCTTAGAAGTGACGTTATATTTTGAACAAGCCAAGTCTAACAGTGATGGATTCCTGACACACAATACTGGTCTCAGAACTTGTGGCAACTTTGGAAAGCAAACACAGGCACATTACAGTAATACCACAAATATTACAATAATTTAGCCTTCATTAAAGGTTAAATAGATTACCTGAAATTATGGATTTTTTTTAAAATAGGAAATAATATTTAACAAATTGGTTTAATTTCAAAATGCAGTAGCCATGAGTTCATAAAAACAGACCAAGTGGCATTTACATGGCATGTAGTAGATAATCAAAGTTCTGCACTATGAATCAACACTTTGCAGCATGTGCACTGCAAGACATATGGGAATCCTTGTAACGAGGAAGCCATCACATACCATAATATTGCCAATGTGACACAGGGGCAACCGCTATTCCACACTTGAACACGCCGCTTCCAGAGCCAAGCACCATGGAGGTCACATATCCCCCATAAGACTGAGAAGAAAACATTGCTGTTATTTTAGTCGGAAAGGAAAGGATGGGGCCCATCTGCTACACAGTTCATCAGACATTTATAGGCTCAGTGTTTTTCATATTAATGAACTCCATTCTGAATTTGGGTCAGATCTCAGCCAGCCTGCTCAGTCGGGGAAACAGGCATCAAACAGCGCATGGCAGCTGTGGCGCTGATGAATGAGTACTTGCTGGGGAAAAAGGGTGCAAACGCCACTGAACTGTGACTCAGCTGAGGATGACAGTGTTTGGTAGCACCGTAGGCAGCAGCGAAAGACAGGAAACAAGACACTGCTGACCCGCTGTGTCCCTTCCCGTGCTGGGGGAGTGGGAGGAAGCAGAGCTCCAGCCCACAATGTGCCCGATGAGTAGTTGCAACAGGGCATCCAAAAATTTACAGCTCCCTTGGAGCAGGCCTATGGCAGCTCGCTCCCTAACTCTCCCCCAAAGTGTCAAGAGCAAGACTGTGACTGGGGAGTGAAAGATCTTCTGCTGAGTCTGTGGGAGGAACTGTGCAGCAACACACTCCTCGCTACACATGGAAAATTTACTCACAGTCTAGCCTGATACACAGACGAGTAAATATCTGACACACTTGAGCATCCAGACAGCAAGATACCTAAACACTGTCACCAACTGCCCAAGTGACTGGCCTCACAATAGTTTTAAGGGGTTATTGAGGAAAATGTGCCCACCCACATTCAGAAAGAAGAGCAATTTTTGGATCTCATTCCTGTCTTGAAACCAGATTACAGGCAAATGGAACTGTATTTTAGTTAAAAGTCTTTAAATGTTTGCTCCAACTTCAATTCTTGGGCCCTCCCACTGAGATCAGGAAATAAATCCATGTGCTTAATAAATAACCCCTTGTATAAATATGCTGCCTAACCTGGCCACAGTAAAGATATTACTGCTGAATCTATGGCAAGCAAAATTAATCCACACAGCGATAGGTTGACAATGAGAGGCTGACAATCTCAAAACTCAAGAGATAAAGAAAATCTGTTTGCCCACAGGTTCTGTATCCAGGGTGCATAATCTGGACAGCTCCAAAGAGGAATGCTCTTCAACTATTCAACCTGAGGCTCATAAGGACTTATAATGGCAATGCTTTAAGTCCTATTTATGCAGAAAGAGTTTTCCTTCCACTACAGTTAACACTACTACACAGTATAACAGAGGAATCTACTACCAGAAAAAAAGCTGCTAAAGGCACCATCATCATATTGCCATCAAGCAAATTATTTACTGGTGCCTGTCACCAGCAGTGCCCAAATTTCAGTTAGCAATTTAATTCAAGATCCCGCATGCAGTCCTGCATATACTTAAACACAGTGTGCTTAAACAGAGCATGCAAGAATAGACCCTATGACACCAGAAAAAGCAGTGAAACAGTGGCCTGGGACAGAGGAATACGCAGCATTATAATCTCTAATGCTACATATGCACTTAGCCTTGCAGCTGAGGGGGTAGGTATATGCCATTAAACACTACGCTCTACTGTGACAGGTTTAAAGATGCATCAAGTTGGGGCAATCTGGCCTCTGGTTGCAAGTACTGCTGAAATAAAATATAGCCAAGCAGAGCAATGTAGCAGATCTAGGTATTTGCAGGCACTTTTAAGATGTTTTATCAGTTCAATTACTGGATTGTGCTGTGACCCAGAGGTGCCTCACATGAAGTAGCCCAGCACCTCACACGCACGGCAGCACAACAAATAGTTGTTACAATTAAATAATATGCCTGCCAAAATTATTTGAGTACTTACCCAACCCCAAATAGCTATTCTGTCCTTATCAACAAAGCTCATTTCAGAAAACTTTCTGAAAGCAAACAGAATAATTAAACACTTAAAGGTTGCCAGTAGCTGCCATTTTACAGGTGTGCCTATTTTCCATCAAGTCTGCCTCTTTTTATTACACAAATAAGCATTTCCCACTTCATGACAGTGACTGCATATGAAGACATACAATAATTCAAACACATGTCTTTAGGAAATTCAGAAAAACATCTGTGCACGTGACACTTTGTAAAACCCCTCAAACTGCACTCACTGACATTTGTAGTGTATTAGGTTAGATTTCACTACCTGCCTTGCACTTTTTTTGGTGTTTGTTTGTTTTGTTTTTGTTTTTAAATATACACGACAATCAAATTGCAGCAGTAAGGGACAGGCTGACACATGTAAATCAGTCACCATTTAAAAACAAACCCCACAAGATTGTGAAATACTATTTGTTTAAACTCCTTAACATTTTAAAATCCCAAACAGAAAACCCTGTAAGATCATTCCATTATGATTCTGAGAGATGCATGCTGTGATTGTCTGGGTTAGCAAAGTTCTACAAGCATAAACCAAGTGAGGAACATGCACTATGATGTAAAGGCTGAGTATTTCATACAAGTAATTCTGCCACAACACAAGCTTGCAAAATGCTTGGAGTTAAACTTCCATTTCCAAGTTCCTTAGTAGCATGTTCTTGTACTAATGTGACAGCTATAAAACCAGAGATACCGTAAATTTTTATTTCAGCATTAATTCTTCTCTCTAAACATAGAATGATGGTTGGCCCATAAATGACACACTCTGGTTACAATTTTTGCCAATAATTTCAAGATAACCATTCAGAACCTTTACCCTATTTTCCCCCTGCACAATAGGCACATAAAAGGAGCAGGTGTTGACCATTTCCCTGTCGCTCACCTGGCTGCTGCTATCTGATCTTCCACTTCATATGTTCCCAGCCTTCGGTTTATTGCGTGCATAATTTCATCCCCTTGGTATCCACTTCCTCTGCCATCAAAACTGGCCACAATGATCTTCTCAGTGCTTGCGAGATATGTAGCCCAGCTGATCTGGAAGGCATAATCTACTTTCTGACTACAAGGTCCTGCATACCTGGATAAAAAGTGCCACAGACTTCAGTTATTTACTCTTTACATATTCTCATATCAAGCATCTGAAATACAATTATTGCTGACAATTTTTGGCTACTAAAGCAGGATAAACTTTTAAATTAAACTGAGCAAACAAGAAAAGCATCACTACCGATTCCAAACTGATGCTTTGCTGGACACTAAAATCAATATGCTCTTTGAAAACTTCTATTCTTAATCAAGCAGATGGGATATTTTTTTTGTTTTACTGCTTTCTGCTCTAATGAGAAATTTTCATTATTTTGACTTTAAGCAGCTTATCAGAACTCCAAGCCAAATTCTCTTTTCTGTTGGCATATCTGAGTCACCTGAGTTTCAAAGTGATGTTCTCTATTTCTGTTTCATTCACCCATGATTTATTTGTTCTGAAATCAGCAAATAGCCTTCATTTGGAAAACTGAAAAATACCTTTTTCTGCATTTTTAGTGTCTCATCAGTCTAAACTATTTCTTATGCAGGCTGAGGAAACAGAAGCCAAACTGTAATTTTAACTCTTTACTTTAAAATATTTCAGAAGCACTTGACCACTATGAGATCATAATCTGAGTGCACCTCATTACTACTTTTGATGGCAAATTTCTGTGCAGTGCACCTCTGTAGTCCCTTTGCAATGGAATAAGAAATGGAAGAATGGCTCTTGTGTCTCTAGAACCCTCACAGTTTTAAAAGCAAAGAAAAAGAACTACTGGGAATTCTTTATTTCAAGCTATAGATCTTGATACTTCCGAAGGAATTTCTGATATCAAGATCACCACGAAGCAGAGGTGATCCTGACAAAGGTCCTGGTAAGTCAATAAAGGCAGTATCAAAACCAAAATTAGTCTTAAGAGGCCAAGATCACTGACTGCTCATTAAAATGTTCAATAAGCATATAAAAAGTATTACAGTGCTACCCAATAACATTAAATAAAGATGTATCTAACAATTAACAGCTAGTTCCCTTGTGGAGGCAGCTTTTTGTAAAAAGAGGAAAAGCTTAATATTTCTATTTTAATGAATAGCTAAAATTCAATAATTTCCAGTTAGAAGAAAACATACCATAATGAACAGAAGTGCCTCAGGAAGAACTGACCAGGCAGCTTGTGCTCATGGTCTTAAATTTATGAAAAAACAACAGCAAATGCAATCCTGACCACGCAATGAAGTTTGTCAACGCTAGCTGATAGTCAAATATCACACACAAAATGCAACATCACACACACTATGTCAGCTTTAGGATACACATCTTATTCAAGGTTTCATTCTGGAATGCCATTTCATTGAAATTCCTGAGGAACTTCAGGAGCAGAGGAGGAGGTAAACTATCACTAACATCCTGGCTTTTAAATCAGATACAGACTGTATCAGCCTCAGTGGCTCCAGCTGAGTATGTGCTCATTAAGCATGACATCATCTTATGGTACAGGAATCCAACACAAATTGGGATACATCTCGATTTTCCATTCCATCTTAAATCCTGCTTCAAGAAGTAATTGGAAAACATGACAGTGTTCTGTCTCCTGATCTTACTAAGAGCATTTGAAGTAGATGAAGGCAATTACCAATATTGCCATGTAATTGAAAACTTACACATCAAGGAGCAGAGGGTACTTCTTTGATGAATCGAAATGGGGAGGCAGTATCATTTGATACCACAGGTCTAAAAGTGAAAAAAGTTTGACTTGGGTCAGTTCTCCAGCGAAGCAATTTGACATGCATTGCAATTCATACAAGAGCACATTTGAGCCACCCCCGAAAAACTAGTTTCATCTGAACTGTCCTAATATATACAGGAAAATGGTCCTAGCTAATCTGTTTTTTTTAAAAAATGTTTTACAGTTAGCTTAGCAGAAAGTCCTAAAATTTAGGGACTCAACATGCTGTCTCCTAACATTATTCTAAGCTTACATGTAAAACTTGTTAGGTCTCTACACTGGTACACCTGGCACTAGCTCAAAAACGTTTCTCTAATAAAATTTATCTCCCAGAAGTAAAAAGAAATTCTAAATATTTTGAATCTGCCAGATAGACTTGGCATGACAGTTTGTAAAGCATCCCAAAAACCTATCCAATTTCTGAAGCAACATTGATTCCGGTTCCGTCCATGTTATTCTTTCCACCCAAGTTGGCTGAGAGTCAGCTGAACATTTTAAATTCACACCATGTAAGTTTTGCAAACTGAATGGTTCAATTGGTCACTCATGAATTTTAAAAGAACTGATGCTGCAAAGGAGCCATGAAGCAATGCTGAGGGACTGCAATGCAGTAATAGTCAGAGTACAAGTCTTACAGAAATTTGTCCACATATGAATATGAAAGGCACCAGAACACTGAAACATTAACAATCTACACTGAACACATTGAAATAACTAATATTAAGTTTTTGCATGCTCTATAGTAATGGGACTCAATTTCTTCCTTGACAACATACAGGGATTTTTGAGTAGATTTAAAATTTGAAGTAGGACTACATAAATGGATTTATTTCTCCTATTTGTGACATTAAAAATATATTCCCCTTACCCAGAAGGTTTTACCCTGAAGACATGAAGTAGTAAGAACAAAGAGGAATAATTAAAAAAAAGAATATACAACTGATAGCACGAAGAACATCTTTAAATCTCCATCTTGCCTGGAAGATTTCATCTTTAGCCCTAGTAAAAATGTGACAGAAATAAAAGACAGAAAACACAAAGATAAAGAGAGTTATTACATAAATAAGGTAACAGTGAAAGAAGGGAGGCATCAAAAGGAACAGTGAGCAATGAGTGACTGAACTCAATACAGCTTGTAAGATATAATTGCATTAAGAGTATCCAATAATTTTATCAAGAGGAAATTTGTCATGAAGAGAAAAGCTAGCGGCAAAGGCTGGAGCAAGAACAGTTTAGACAGGTACCAGGCCTCCCACTGCTGGTCCATCTGATGTTCTTCAGCCTAAGAGCACACCAAGAAAGCTTCTGCACCCAAAATCAGAGGAGCACCACTCATAAAGCATTAGCAGTTCATTTTCTAGCATTTTGTTCTAGTCTGCATTGAGGTTTAAGTAGTCTTGGAGTGTGAATATGCTTTTAAGAATGTGACTATTCAATCCAAATATTCCCACACACAAAGTCAAAGGTGATAGTGTTGAAATGTTGCTTAAATGTTTTTTTTTCAAGCTTTTCCATTTAGAATCTGTGTCTGTTTTTTCATAGTAACTGGACTTTTCCACATTTCCAACCTGTTAACACAAACCAAAGGGACCTGCACCTGTAAATTAAGACCTACTTGAATTTATAATGTAATTTAAATTCAACAGTGCTTACAAGCTTTGTGCTCCATTCTCATTTCTCTTATTTACTTAATGTGGTGTTAGACACTTCTGTTTTTCAGTTTATTATAAAGGAAAAAAGGAGTTAAGCCACTTCATCATCAAAACATCAAGATATCACACCAGGGAAAAAGCATATTTTAGATAAGAATATTTTGGGATTTCACAAAAAACCAGAATGTTTGGAAATGTCCAAAAAAATAAATCTTGCCTTGCCTCTAAGTGCTGAATAACTGCAATAATCCCCACTACACCCATCTGTTCTGTCATGCTCCTCAGCAGAAGACCTTGAAGCACTTGGTGAAAAGGCAAGAGAAAGGTAAAAGATGTTTTTTGAACTTACTGTATCCACCTACACTAAGGGAGCCAATTTTTTTTGAAGGCATCTGAATATCTTTCAATGCATTTTCCAGTTCAGTATTATTTTCCAAGTATCTGAGGACTAAATAACAGAGTAAGTAAGACTCAGATTAAATACATTACTTTCAAATGCACTATTTTTAAATTATGAACTACTTTAAACATTCAATTTGAGATGATGGCAGCCTACATTGAAGTCTTAGTTTACTGCAGTTTTTGTTTTTCCTCTCAGATCCAATGTTTACAATACAATTTTCCTCCAGTTATTTAGTAACCAGAAAGCTGTTTTCCCCATTTTTCATCTAAATGCAGTTTCAGAAAAATTGAACAATTATCCAGTAAATAAGTCATACATTACTCACTGTTTTTTAGCACAATGTAAAATAATATTAAATAAACTATGAATAAATGTATGCCAAGCTTTATAATTTATTCGTCTGGTAATTATTTGAAATGAAATTTACCCTTCATAACTGACATTTGAATTACTATACTAAGCAATGAGAACAAAATGAAAATAAATTTACAGTACAATTTTCTGGCTCAACACAAATTATATTTAAAGTCAATCCCATACCTTGATCATCAGTGCTTCTGTGCAGGGTAGACACAGGCAGGCCTGGACCTGTTAATAGGGCACAGTACCTTCATGTTTGCATGCTGTCTTGAAACATAACCCTTGTAAAGTAACTAGAAACGGGTGAATCACAAAAGCTCAGAACTCAGCCTGCACAAGCTGCAGTTTAAATCAGCAGGGGCCAAATTCAAGCCACAGGATCTCACAAAATTTTCGGACTGTCTCACAGATGAGCCACATGACTATCAGGTACTGGAGAACTGAATTTCCACTTCTTAGCAAAGCCTACGCATTCGGTGTGGACCACAGTTTGTCAATCAGTAAGCCTTGTCACAGAGACCACAGCAGCCATCGTTTTTACAACCTGACTGAACGATTCCCTCTGCTATCTGTCTGTCCTTCTAGCCCATAGATCAGGGAAGACCTTGGCATCTTAAAAAAAACATTGTACATTTCAATGTAAAGAAATTTTATAGAAGATTTGATTTTTCCCAGCCTTTGATTAATTTATCCCTTGTAGTATCTAGCACAAGCACTTGCAGGTGCAGGACAGATTACAGTCCCACTGCTTACCTTATGATTAACTGGATTATTTTTTTTTTACCAGCACTATCTATCTTATTTCCACACAGAGAGCACTGCTCTTTACTCCCAGCCTGTTGCTTGTCATGCGCTCAGAGCCTCCAAATTCCTTCTGCAGCCAGAGCTCCCCATGCAGCTCTTGAGGAGATGCGCAGTGCACAGTAGTGTTTTGCAGCTTTTTCATGTCTACTGACAGATAAAACTAACAAGTTTTATCCTTGTAATTTTTGTCAACGTGCTTTTGAGCCTAGGAGGCAGTAAGGCAGTATGTTTTTCCACTGCCAATGCATTTATCCAATGACATCAACACATATCATTGTTACGCGGTACATATCAAGATCCTGATGAAGTGAACTTCCCCACCCAACTAATCAGTGAGTCATGTTTATGTCAATTAATTCGGGATATACTCACCAAGACAATTTAGCTGATAATACTGTGCATCTTTGCTGAAGGACACAGAATAATACTGGCATCTTTCTTGATTCAGATCACAGCTAACACATTTAGTAGAATTTGGACTGCTTTCCAAGAGCACTCTGCAAAGTAGATGAGCTTCATTTCAGAGATGACTTTTTTTTAAGCTATGCTAAACCAATGTATGTTTTTTAAATTAGATGGCCAAATGAAATATGTTAAAATTCAGAAGGAAAATCATTACTGAGTTAACAATTAGAGAAAACTTAAACTTTTGAGTTCAATTAATATTGAAATTATAATCATAGCAAAAAAAAAGCATGAAATGTTTTCTTTAGGGGTTCATTGCTTGAGGATTAGCTGTTTCTTCTCACAATTTCCCTTTAATCAACTCAATTTACAGAAAAGCATTTTAGTTATTTTTGCAGTTTATACTCTTACACTAATTTTCATTAAACATCCTCTATAGGATCCCACCTTAAACTGAACATGCTAATCTTTTAGTTTGCAATGCTTTTTATTTAAGTTTTTCTTTCATTAACTACTGATACCATTACTGCAGAAAAAAATTTCTTACTTATAAAGATTTCTTCCTCCTGGCTTTCCACCATTTTCATTGCTAATGTAATACCTATAAAAGCAAAACATACTGGTTTTGGTAAAATATTTACGGTACATTACAATATTTAAACGTTTATATTACGTATTTAAAGCAGATTTTTAATGAGCTAGATGACATTTTTGCCCTGTTCTCCTTCCCTGCTTGCTTAGACCTTTGTTACCACTCCTTAGGATAGGAATCAGTAGCTTAATTACAAATACTTACAAAAACTTATTGGTTACAGCTTCTATGCTGATTACTTCCCATTTTCCTGAAGTAATAGGTACTGGAGCCTGGAACAGGGGGAAAAACAAGGCAAAAAGTAAAACATGAAGCTCCTTGACCACCAGAAGAAACACAAGCCAGCAGTGACCATCCGACACGTTATTACTCACCTGTGAGCCATTTATGTAATGGATGTGCTTGTAACCTTCTGCATTGCTGAAGACTTTGTAGTAGGTAGTATTGTCAGGTGCAAAGTGAGGGACAGATGGCTGAAACTTGGACATAAGAGAGAGATCTATTAAAGCAAGAAACAGAACTCCAGACCCAAAGCAATAAATTTAGGTTTTGATATCTCTAACTGGGAGTCTCAATAGTTAAGGCAATGCATTATTGAACATACTGCAAATATTTTTGCCTGCTGACTTAGTAGGTAGAAACTGTAGCCATCATCCTATGAGTAAACACACTTGAAATATTTTCTTGCTCCTTAAGCAGCAGAATTTCCTGAGTATTAGACCTGGTCGTGATCTGTATCCCCTCCTACCTCCTTTGAATTTGACGCACTTCAGGTGTTCTTAGTTTTCTACCATTTTAGGAAACAATATGTGCATCTACTTTCAAAGTCACAGTTTCATTATGTCTAACGCCAACATGCAGCTGTAACCTCTAAAAATGTAAACTTTGCAAATACATGTTTTTCTTGAATTTCCCAATTTAAAACATGTGTTTGTGAACAAATTCTTTGAACTAATTTTTTTTTTTTGTTAGCTTAACTGTGAAAAAATGCCCCCTTCTATTAAAAAAAATCAAGTTGCTTTCCAGAGGGGAAATTTTGCCAGTAAGTAGGTGATTACAGAATGACAGACAACCCAAACTGGAAGGATATTTTCATGAAGGAACCATCCATTTATCAATTGAGTGACAGAAATGAATCAATTTCTTCTACTGACTGCCATCTGAATGTGCTACACATGGTAGAAAGAAAGAGAGCAATGAAATTGAACTGAATGAAATAAAAGTTATTTCTGTGATAAACATCCAAAGGATCTCAATGCCAATTAGGCAACTGACACAATGCAATTGCCCCAGAGATATTTTACCCATTCTGACATGGAAAATTAAAAACAAAGTGCCTTGCCTCTGGTCATTCAGTAAGCAATTATAGAAAGTGAGTCTTCCGAACCCATGTGCTCCAGGTAACCCCTCCTTCTTCCCAAGCAGTATTTTGGCAAAAAGTTAACCTGGCAAATATTTTGCTAGCTTTTCTCTTATTGCAGTCTTGCTTTTTCAAAGTGTGACTTTCCTTCACTCAACTGGCATGCTCTAACTCAGCTGATGACCTGGAAGCCTTATGCAGTAACACAGGCTGTTTAAATCTAGATTTAATTTGAATCTAATTTCATCTCTATTTTTAAGTAAACCCGAACAACCAAACCCAAAACATTATAGATACAAAGAGAGGACTACATGTATATTTTACATACCCATATAAATTACTGACATTTGTATATATGTATGTGTATATATACACACCTCTCATATATAAAAACTATTCCTTATTAGTCAAGCATCATTTTATCATCCCTAAGTAGGTAAAAATAAAAGAAAGGAATAAATATATCTTTCCTACCCACTCTTCAATCCTCCCTACTCTCCACTCCCTTCTCAAATCCAAGAAACACATAGTGAGATTAGCTTTTCTTCCAACAGCTCCTATGATGTGGGTTGTCTCTTTAAAAGAAACAAAAAACCAACAACCTAGTTTAATGGCACAGACTTGCATTTTGCCCTCTCATTTTGCACAACTGTTTACAAAGTCTGCAGCTTGATCATCACATTGTCTAATTGTGAAGCCTTTGCTGCAGAGAAGCAAAATGTGTCAGCGTTAAGGCCTTCCTTTCCATATCAAATTTGACAGCAGGTGGGTTGATCTCTCATCTTCATACTGCGGATGATTTCATCCCTGCTGTTGCCTCCCTCTTTGCATTTCTTTAAACTTTCATTTTTGACTTCAAAAGTGAATTAGTGACTAAAGCATAATCAGTGTGTGGAAAATGCGGGAGTGGAAAGTGTACTCTGTGTTCTCATCAAAAACTCTGAAACTCATTTCTCCCTCCAAGTCTGAACTTTTGCATCTCTGCTTCGCTTCCCCCAGATCTTCTGTGTAGTTCATTAGGTGCCTACTCTCTACCATGTACAAAAGGACTGAGAGGCAGCTTGGAAAGCATCATCCAGACAGTAGTGACTGGTTTGGCAGAAGCGTATGAAAATTTTAATCTGGTCAGTTATATGCATCTTGCTCCCACTTCTCTTCAATGAGTATTTCGTGTGTGTGCAAAATAAATAAGTAGCCCTGATGAGAACCTGGGATGGTTCGTTGCAATTTGAAATGCTAAAAATTACTTTTGTCCTCTATGCCTTTCCTCTAATATGATTCAAAGGTTTTAGCAATTCTTAATACATTTTAACCCTTAGATCTTACTGAAGGAAGGGGCAGGAAGACTGGAAAGGAGCTAAAGCAGCATAGCTGACAACTCCCCCAGAACAAAGGGAGTTCTGAATCCTGGCTCCTACTACCAAAGCAGCAGGT